CGAGCTACCATCTCCCAACGGATAGATCCAGTAACCAAATGCTCCCTGGCCTCCATCGGAGTGAGTAGCGACCACGAACGGATCAATGTCGTAGCTCGGAAAATAACCTGCAAAAAATGGATCCGTGATGTTCTGTTAAAAACCAAATCATTTCTGCAATTCCAGATAGTCCATAACAAAGCGCAAACTCCAACCCGAATATGTCTTGCTAATTCAGGCTCAACCCCATTAAGCCATGTCCCAAATAAAGCATTGACCGAAGTCGGTGGAGTAATATTAAAAGCAATATGGACCGTCCGTCATAGAACTTTGGCCAACGGGCAATCAAAAAATAAATGCTTAATCGTCTCATCCCGATCACAGAAACTACACCTAGTAGGTCCTGTTCAATTGCGTTTAATCAAGTTGTCCTTTGTTAAAATAACTTGTTTATGGACAAACCACATAAACACTTTAATTTTTAAAGAAACTTTGACAGCCCAAACATACTTGAAAGTTGGAATAGCATTCGAATTAATAACATCAATATACATTGATTTAACTGTAAATACTCCAGAGCTAGTCAACTTCCAGCGCAATATATCGGGTTGGTGAGAAAGTTGAACCTCCATCAGTCTCCTAACTAGATGGAGCCATTCTTCCAAACGATTGCCCGCTAGCAACCGTCGAAACTGAATATTAAGGGGGACAGATTGGAATACCGTTGCCACGAACACCTCACGTCGTTGAGCAATCCGATATAAAGACGGATATTGAATGGCTAAAGGTGATTCACCAAGCCAAGTATCCTTCCAGAAATGTGTACTTGTACCGTTTCCAATAACAAATCTCGTCCTATTGAACATAGATTGTTTGACTTTCATTAGTCCTTTCCAGAAAGGCGAATCAGTCGGCCTGACTGCGACCTGGGACAATGTTTTAGTCTGGAGGTACTTGTTGCGGAGGATCTGCGCCCACATGGCCTCAGTTCCGGAAGACAGCTTCCACAACCATTTACTAAGAAGACATATATTCTTAACTTCAAGATTTTCAATAACAAGACCCCCTTGGTCTTTCGGTCTACAGATGATGTCCCATTTAGCAAGCCGATATTTTCTTTTAAGTTCATCACCCTGCCAAAAGAAACGCGACCGATAGAAGTCCAGTCGTTTCCTAACACCAACTGGGATCTCAAAGAAAGATAAGAGAAACATAGGCATACTTGTGAGCACCGAATTAATCAATATCAAACGGCCTCCGTATGACATGAGCTTACCCTTCCAACAGCTCAGTTTTTTCTCAAATCGATCCTCGATGCACTTCCATTCTCTGTTTGTTAGCCTACGATGGTGAATCGGAATACCAAGGTAAGAGAAGGGTAAACTCCCCAACTCGCACCCAAACAATTGCCTATAAGACTCTTGGTCGTCTTTGGCTCTACCAAAGCAGAACAACTCGCTTTTATGAAAGTTAATCTTTAACCCGGTCAATTGTTCAAACAGGCATAACACTAGCTTCATATTTCTCGCCTTGGCCAAATCATGCTCCATAAAGATGATTGTATCATCGGCGTACTGAAGGATGGAAACACCTCCCTCAACAAGATGAGGTACCAACCCACCCACTTGACCATTCTCCTTAGCCCTTCCTATCAAAATTGCTAACATATCCACCACAATGTTAAACAGGATAGGGGACATCACGCAAGACTACTTATGTCATATCACTATATTATTAAAAAAAAAACAGCTCTCAATTCACATTTTGCTATCTTCATAGTTATATTTCAAGTATTGTTTTCGTTGCAATATATTTTCATGTAAGATCATATCTCTACTCTCTAAACAAAGTTATGTAATGTATGTATTATCATGTGCATATGACTAAAAGTCCCCGCAGCAACGCGCGAGGTATCATCTAGTTTTATTGAATCTTAGATCCAAATCAGTGTACCTTTAATTGCTATGATTTTTTTTTTAAAGCTGAACTATGCCCACGTCGTCCAATTCGCCGTTCGGCTCCTTTGCTCGCTCTCTCCGTCAGACCAGTTTTCTCCCATAGCCTGTCATCATCGTCTGGATCCTAGCACCGCTGCTTGCCGTCCCCGAACTCCATCGCTGCACGACGAGCTCTACGTACCCGCCTCCGAATCCCGCCACCGTACGACTAGCACGCTGTTGCGTGGGAGGCGCAGTGCCGCGGCGGTCGACGGCGAGCAAGAGGAGGAAGAGAACACGCTTGGAAGATGGTCTGTGGCGGGGTGAGACTCGACCCGACTCCACTTACTGGAGCTGGCGACTACCTCTGGCTGGATCAGCAGCTTGGAAGCGGCCGGCTGCTGGTGCAAGGCGTGGTCGCCGATGTGTCCTGGGTGTTGCTGCTCCGCATGTGCACCCATTTTGTTTGATGGAATGCCTCTGACCTTTCTCGCCTATACTGCACTTATGCCTGGACAAGGATCGAACTGGCGTTGCCCATGAAGAGGTTCTACAGAATCCACGCCAACGTTCATGATCTGTGGCCGTGCAGTGCAGGTACATGGCCATCTGATTCCTCTGTTTTTATGGAGCATGAACTGTTTCTGGTTTGGTTGTTTGGATGTCTGACTTGTGCTTACTGTTCTACTGCGTAGTGAGGTGCCGCCTCTGTTTCTTGGCACATTGTCCAATTTTATGCGCCTTGTTTTCACACATTGTCGTTTAGTAGCAATGGCCAGGGGAGGAAGGTGTGTTCTATGCGTTGAAGGTGCTTGACGTAATGCCGAAGGGTGCTGACATAGTTGCATTCAAGGAGGAGAGTGTATGGCTGACTCTGCCCATAGCCATACATACATACATACATCATGTACCATCTTTATCTGCTGTGATGGAGAAGAAAGGAGAAGATTGGTCAGGCCCCATACATTAACAGATGGGAGATTTGAGCAACAAATTCAGCTTTGAAAGCTCTGTCTGATCTGCTCTGCTCATGTGAGGTGGTGTGTTATTTTCCATGGCAAGTGAAAAGTAGGCAAAGATCAAAGTTGTCAACCTGGGTGGGAGTTATACAAATACCCAGTACGACAAAGCACCTCGGAGTGCAAAATTTCTTGCAAATCATATCTCTTCACGTCCGGCTCATAGGTGACATCCTCCCTCATCTACGCCCAACCCCTGCTCCCACAGCTGCTCCTGCTATGTATCTCCACCTGATTAACAAGAGAGTGTGGACTATATTTTTTTTTTGTTTTGCCAAAAGCTCATACGGCTGATTGCAAATTTTACTTATGAAAGTGCAATTAGTTTAAAATTAGATTGTAATTTTAAAAATCGACCGGAACTTATAAGAAATCAGTTCCCTGAACTTCAAACAAGCTTGGAAACTGTCCATAGTTGGACGCCAGCAATCCCCTTCCGCATGATTCGGCATTGTTGACCAAGAGGAAGTAGTTTATTGTTTTTGTCATCGTGTATAGGCCGTCCATGGAATTATTGTTCAAACCCCCTTCCGTATGATTCAATACTGTTGACCGAGGGGTTATAGTTTATGATTCTTGTTGTTGTCACCTATAGGTCGCACGTGGAATTATTGTTCAAGATCCCTTTCCACACCATTAATGTGGGAGTGGTGTGATAAGATAAGCGTTTAAGTTGAATTTTCTAGTGTCACGTGAATGGTTCCTTGGAGTATGAATTGCAGTAACTTGACTGAAAACGATGTATACTGCGCTCTCCCTTCTGATTTGTATCCCCCCCTCCTCCCTCCAAACTAATTTTAGCTAACCTTTGACCATGAGTTATGATATCGAACATAAATATAATATTTTTTTGTGGCATATAACTTATATTTTTTACTCAAATATATAATCAGAGATTAACCTAAATTAGCAGAGAGCCTTTCAAACCAAAAGGGAGGGAATAGAAAGGGAGACTCAATTTTCCAAAATTGCAAATTTTACTTATTAAAAGTCCAACTAGCAGGTTAAATATTACAGGTTGTACTTTTTAAAATCGACCGGGACTTGTAAGAAATCAGTTCCAACACTGAAATTTAGACAAGGTCGCAAACTATCCCAGGTTTAATGCGGGGAAGATCCCCTTCCACATGATTTGGTATTGTTGACCGAGGGCAAATAGTTTATAATTGCTGTCACCACATACGGGTCGTGCATGGAATTATTGTTCAAGATCTCCTTCCGCATGATTTAGCATTGTTGACCAAGGGTTCCACAATCATTCGCGTGATATGGAGTGATATGATAAGATTACAAGACAGCTCCTCTCTCCGCCCCCTGGCTCTTGGATTATGAAAAATTCATTAATTTGGCTGCAAAAAGATATACCATATCGGAGTAGAATACATAGAAAGGGAGACCATTTGCCTCTTTTGTACCTGGCTCTTGGATTATGAAAATGGCATTAATTTTAGTGTCAAAAACGCTCTTATATTATGGGACGGATGGGAGTACCATATAAGAGTACAATATATAGAAAGGGAGACCTCCTTTGTTCCTGTCAGTGTCAACCGTCAAGCTAGTGTGATTAGGCTTTGTATCACTGATCTTTATGTCTGCATCGATTGATACACTCTGTGTGATTAGAGATCCTGGTGTTATTTCATCTTCCTTTGCATTTTGAAGTAGGGTACTTTAGTGTAGACGACATATATGAATGAATATATAGAGTTTTAATTAATCATGTTGTTGTCATAGAACACATGAACTATACATGACACATGTGCATACGTTTTTAATCCGATGAACACATGAACACATTAATCGTGTCTGTTTTAAATCTTTTTGCAGCTTATTGCAGCCATAGCGCACCGCTAATCGATGCTGCATATGCATATGGATCCGAGCAGGTAACCCCTAGCATGGGCAGTCAGCCGGCCCGGCGAGAGACAGACTTTTTGAACGAGGGGTGGAGAAAAAGGCGTGTTGTGCTGTCAAGATTCCCGCCACAGCTGCAGAAAATCTACTTCCCTTCATGCATAAAAATCAACCAGCCATCGAACTAATTAAGCTTACAAGGCTCATAATTCTAGTATGTGTCAACGTTCACGATGGGTCCCTTGAACCAGAACCGAGCATGGAACACCCAAGAGCCAACGCTGAGCAACAGCACCCCACCGACGGCAACCGGCGTGTAGTTGAAGACGTCCTTTCCCACAGGGTATGCCACCGGTAGCGAGAATAACACAGTGATGAAGACCACCCACAGCACGGCGGCCCGGCCGATGATCACACCGTACCTGCCGAGGTGAAACGGCCCTCGGACGAATGACTTTCGGGCGGTCGTCACCCGGAAGAAGATGGGCAACGCGTAGGAGATGTACAACCCTAGAGTCGCAATGGACACCATCGCCTGGAAGGCCACTTGGCTCCCCAGTGACTTCACACACCAAATAACATGAAGCAAGGGAATGAAATGTCAGTCAACGATTCGGGCGACACAAAGTCTGTGAAACATGCATACGTACCGTGAGAGCCATGGCGAAAGCCACGAGCACGGAGAGCCAGACAATGTTCAAAGGCACCTCATGTTTGGTCACCCGGTGCCAGAGGTGCGAGTACGGCATAGCTCCATCCCTGGAGAAGGCATACCCCATTCTGTGCCACGACACAAAGATGACCAATTCAGATAATACATTGCGACAATATAACAGTTTCTCTCACTTATTGTGCTGTACTACTTAAATGCATGTGCATTGCAATAAAAATTACAAACATATACATAAATACAAATTGTACTTTGGAACCACATGTGTGAGCATGGCCCTCGTATGACTTCCAACAAGCCATGACCGACATCGATATCTTTCTCTGTTTCCTCCTTTATGGCAACAACCAAGCAACAGTCCAAATTTGCAAAAACGCTAACCAGCCAAATCATAATAGCAACCCATTATGATGTAATGGGACATGCAATATTCGAAGCATTATCAGGCGGTATTTGATATTAATTTTCGTTTTCTAATTACAGCAAAAGGGCCTCTGGGATGCAACACCAACAGATTTAGGATGTGGGAGCGGACGACATACTGAAAAATGATGTCATAAGTTCTCAATTATTAAGTAATGTATATTTGTGATTGGGGTATGAGATGTCTGTGACGGGACAAATTTTAGGAAGGAGGTATTTGTGAGCATAGAACGTCCCAACCATCACGACGACGACCACAACCACCCCGCTCCCCCCAGGGCCGGCCCTGAGGGGGGGCGGCCGCCCCGGGCCCCCAAGACCTAAGGGGCCCCGGCTAGGTACACATACGCAAGTAGCCCATTGCTGGCCCAAGGAGGAGGCAGGCACACACGTACACGCACGTAGCAGGTTTGCCTTATAATAAAACAAAACGCGCAGCAGATATCCCATTGATCGCTAGCTAGAAGTTGCAATCCCTAGTTTTTTTTGCCTAAAAAAGGTTGCAATCGCTAGATTATCGCCATGATGTCCGTGCATGCGCTGGACGAACCTCCACTCTCCGATCTCCTACCCGGATCCTCGCCTCCTCGTTCTCCTTATCTGTCTCACCGACTCCCCAAAATTCAGTTTCCAAAAAGCCCTAATCCAAAGCCACCATGGCAAACCGCATGTGTTCAACAATTCGCTGCCGCCCTCTACAGACATCGAGGGCCGGTGAGCGGCCCCTGCTATCCTCTCTACCGCTGCTGGTCCAGTCCCTGCTTCGATCAAATCCTTCTGGATGCTCCTGCTAGTTCGCCAGTTCGACCGTTCCTAACTAGCCAAATCCTCAAGGTGTGTAATTTCCATCATCTTAAATATTGGATGGATCGATGTGTACCACATATAGCAAATGTATGTTTAGTACTAAATTCTAATTGTAGTGTGTTTTACAATTCTGTCATTTATTAGGATTGAGAGATATATTATCTAACATATGCCTCTAGCAAAAGTTTGTTTTTCATGTAGAAATTGCTGGAAGATATGGATATTGGTATGATCATCAATGACTTTGTATCTATCGAATGTTATAATTTTTTTAGATAATATATATATAAGTTATTTATTATAAATATTGGTTTTGGATGCATCTCAAGTGTTTTTAGTATATAGAATATATGTCAATATTTTGATGATTACATTAAGGCTAAGGGCCCCCAATTCTTGTCTCGCCCCGGGCCCCTGAAATGTC